GATACCTTATCGCACCAGTTACCGACTCATAGTTATAACCTCACCCCCGAAACAGTGTTATTAACGCAGCCAAACCTAAGCAAATTCACCCCACGTCATGGTAACTGCAGGCCGACAGTGATTTTTCAACACTCTGAACGGCGTGGTTTTGTCACTTACACACCAAGCATCTTCGCTCCTCCTCAGTCAACTCTGGAACACAATTTATTCTGCAAACTGATGTTTATAAATTAAGACATGAACGTCCAAACGTAATAAACGAATTGATGAGAGACACTGGACGAAAAAGCATGTAGGTTGGGTGACATGTATCATGTACAACGCCTTTTCGAATAATCCTATAAATATTTACTTGATTATCATCACGCATACATAAAGTGGCAAGTAAAAAATAAGTCATGTTACTTCTGCAGCAAAAATCCATTTGGAACCTTGCAAAGAATTTTGCTGACTGAAATCAAATGTAAAATAGTAAATGATGCAAAAACACACTTTTTCTAAACATTAGGCCTATCTTCCAGTCGGTCAGACACAAACTTTGCAACTGAACAGCACACAACCGAATCTTTGTCCAATTAAAACCAACTTGACATCAGCCTACGTAGGCTACAATGTTAAATGTCGTTCCACCATCAACGACTAAATCAGATGTCACCAGTCATGTTGTGCATGACTTTTGTCTTTTGTATATATGTTTTTTTTCAATTATAGGGCAAGGTTGTTAACCACTGACTGCTTTAGCTTTCTCTGACGATGGACAATTGAAAATTTCCAATTATTTTACTCAGAGTGCTCATCCCATAGCCACCCTAACCTGTTAGCTCGAATAGTTTGACAAAGGGTAAACCTTTTTGTTGCACTGAGCCAACATCCTAAGACATAAGCGTCTAGGTTGATTTTACAGCGTCTTTCAAAATATCAATGCACTATCGTCATCAACCGCAATAACAGTAATAGAAAGAGTAGACTCGTCACAGACTCAGAATCCTAAATACTGCACCAGATGTGAAGGGACCTATCGTTGTATTGGTCCCGCGTCTCAAACTTAAATCTGTCATTGTGACAAAATCACGTGCAATGGCGTAACACAATAATTAACGTGACGCCTTCTGTTAAAAGAACATTTTAAAGACTTTGTAAATGAGTAATTGTACTGCATGTGAACGAAATATTACCCAAGAAAAATGGGATTCCTTCGAATAATCATGCAAAACAACAAAATGAAAAATCAATGAGATATCTGTCTACCCGTAGTACTGCATGTAGCCTAAATACTGTAGTGTTTATTTGCAAACATCGGTATCACTACTTTACAATGTTGAATGTACCCAGCAAATTATGTTATGACAAGACGGTACATGCATCTATACGAAAAACAGTAAAGGTCAAGCATAGTTGTGTAAGTGGAACTTGTGGTGTAACTTTTACCTGTATAAAGGTTGAGTAAATTAGAACCAGTTTCCAAGGCAGTCTAAAAGGCACAAGAGAATGAGCTCCCCGCTGATGACACTTAACATCGGTTGTCCTTACAAGTGCCATGAATTGCATCGCCTTATGCAGTTGTACAAATGATACCTAAACAATTTCTCTATTTTAAGGAAGCAGTCTCAACACTCAAACTTTCGTTAAGTCAAACTATGCTGTTACTATTAACTGATAATCAGACCCGAAGTATTCTTATGTTGTGATTACTGTAATAATCTTTGTGTAGTTCTCTTTGTTGATGATTTGCAAATGCACTTCGTTGAGTGTATCTTTACGACTAGCAAAAACCTCCACTGATCGCCATTCGGCCGCTAACATTTTATATCCCTAGATTTCATTATCCGGACCACGTGCATCAATTTAATGGCCGTCCGCAAACAAGCCGGGTATATTCAATGTATAGTAGTACCATTGTTTATGATAAAATGATATCTGTTTTGATGGGGTCCTACGGAATGAGTGACCTGAGATTAATAAGGACGCACGTCTACGTGGATGGGGGAGCGATATAAGAACAAAATCTCCTCCTCACGATGCTTGCCCCTAAGGTTTACAATAGACATTGTTAATAATTGATACCGGATAAAGTCACGGTCAATTTTCATCCAATTTCGTGCAATCACACATACAGCCAGGAATACACTTGCCTCCAACGTTTTCATTAGAGACACGAAATGGAGGCCTCGTCTCATATCCAACGAATTAGTCGGAGAAACGGCATTCGTTATTTGTTCATTTTTTGGAGTAAGGGTCAAGTTAATGTAAATGAATGAATGTAGGAGAGGCAATCTGAATTCAAGGCACGTTTACGGTGTGACAACCGTTTTCACACTGCGCGTTCAGATCCATGTGAAACGACCAAACAGAAAGGATATTCTTGGCAGCATTTGCATATCGTTGTATCGGCCATTATATTCTTCGTCAGGAAGCGACTAAATTCAATTAGCATACAATGAATATTCGGGAACATTTAAAGGCCATTTGTGACTGGCTCTGCAAAAATGGCCCTTGGACTTATGTGTGACAAATTGATTTTGAGTGATTCCCACGGATAGAGAGGCATTTTAATAAGGATTAAATTTGTGTCTTTTTGACCTCTGTTGCACATTCTATTCCCGAGACACAGTAAAATTTAGATTTGATCTTTGGCAGATGTACGGAATGGCCTGTTACATACAGAGGCATAGCATGACTTAAGGGCCTTTTTTGCAGAGTGGGTCACACTTCGTTCTTTCATATGGAAACAATGGATGTGTGCTTCATATGGCCAAATTCATAAACAGCATCAAGAAGACATATCATGCATACCGCAATATGTCTTCTACGGATTTATGTGAACGACTTGAGTTGGATGTATTATAAATTCAACCGTGACTAAGTATCAGCAGTCTGTTGACCGCTGGTTTCTAGACATGTTTTTGTTCGTCGAACGAGTAATTTGCCATTTGTATTCTACAGGTATGTATTTTAAATAAACTCGTCGCTGTCGAACATCAATGCTCTTAATTTTTTAAATTTACGAATCAAGGTTATTATCGATGAAATGTCACTACATCTAGAACATGGGCAGGACAAAAGTGCAAAATACTTGTACATATAGGCCTACATGAAATGTTAAAAATAATTAAGGCCACGAAAAAAGTAAAGACCAATGTTATTCTTAAGTGGAAAACGACCATAATCTTAAAGCATTCAGAACTATATCGCAATGGCTTACCAACACACTTAACAAGGTTATGACTGCTATCCACAGAGATGTAGTGGGAAATTCTTTAAATTTCAGTCTTCAGGATGGTCAAAAAATGGTCGCATTAATTATGCACACAACGATTGTTATTTATGGATCTCCTGCCAACAGTCGCGTCTGATTCAATTTTGACGCTGCAGGCTTTTATGATAAGGCAACTTTAGAGAGTATCCTCTTGCCGGACGTAGATAAGATGCTATGAATCATCAAGATTACAACATAGAAGTATCATTATCGACAATAATTGGATATTATTTGGTCTTAGTGTTAGAAAGAAAAGAAGGAAGATTATGATTTCGTTTTCACATGTCTGAATCAGTCAAAGCACATTACATAGTAAGCACACAAGTGTCATAGACTGGGATGTCATAACTGATGTATTAGACAGTATAAATAACCTGCGATGTCCTGGAGACTGGACTGAAAATAAAAGCAAAAATATTGTAGAAAAAGTTGTGCGAGGCCATAATAGAGTGAAAGGGGCGGAGATAAAGTGACGTCAACAGGTTACACGGTAAAGATGTGTTAAGGTTTTAAGGTTCGTGGCCGGGAGTACAAATTCGGTTGTAATAATTACACTGCTTCTGGTGATTGTTTAAAACAAACTCGAAGTGAAGTGCACATGACTCGACACGGATACACCTTAAATTAATAGAGTGAAGTAAATACTCTGGGGCTTATGCATGGGCTTTGTATTGAGGGCAATGCTCTGAGAAGAAACGGCCATTATGGTTGTACAAATCGATATAACACCAACAGACAATAGATTCTGCGAACTGAGCCAAAGGGCAAGGGGAGATAGAGTTTAACAGGCGTTGGTCACACTAAAAATCGCCACTTGATGAATGTCTAGCCATCTCAAAATCTATGAAACCTTTTACCATAAAAAATGTTCATTTTGTAATTTACACAGTTAACTTACAAGGATATAATTTACCAATAGACATTAATGTTGTCTTTGAAATAAGTCCCTATGCTTTTTTATTTGAACATTTTACATACACCGTCCGTTTTGTTGTGGCGAAATGATGATCACTGCCACAGCAGTAAATGTCATAAATTCAACAGCTTGCTAAGACTAGAATATTACAAGTTTCAACATGCATGTCCCTGTACTAACCTTGTGTTTGTCCTTGTGCCAGAAGGAAATTAAACATGACAACACAATAAAATCCCAGACAAAATTCCTAATTTTAATTACAGGGCAAGCTTCACTATGAAAAGAAGTGGTTTGATATATCTTTCTAAATTATAATGCACATGAGGCTCATCCGGCTCCCTTATGTGACCACTGTCGCACGACAAAATTTTTACAAGGCGACATAAAGTTACGTGTATTTATCGGCAGCTCTATGAATGAATCTTGTATTCTAGAGCAAGGTGTATGTCTCCAACGGTTGCCAAACACTTTGGGGTAATTTCATTGTAAATGTTCACATAACTTGGGGAGGGAATAATTAGGGGCCGAACGGTGAAAAAAACAAACAAAGAAACAACCCAACAAACAAACAACCCAACAGATTTTAAAGTAGGAAATAATGAGGGCCTGGCGTTTGGATCCTAGAAGAATCTTTCCAGCAAAATAAAGTAGGGACAAACAAGCGAGCAGGAGATGTCCCTGTCTACTTGTTATTTTGCTTTTGGGAAAGATTCTTCTAGGATCGAAGCGCAAGGCTCTCCTTATTTTGTAATTTGTATTTAGGTCACTGTATAGCCAGCAAGAGGTTTGCAGCAGTTTTGTATTACATAGAAAAGACCTGGTACGTACCTCAAGTATGGCGTATTAAGTTTTGGTTTGGAGGTTCCCGTTTGAAATCTCCTTTTGAATCTTTCGCATAGCGTGTACTGGGCTCTCAGCTTGCCTTTCGGTCTTCTTCTGCATTGGCTGTTATCAGCGCGCCCTTGAACATGACAGGGATCTCCCATTCACAGCTCTTGAGAAAGGAATGCAGAAACGAATAACAAAAAATTGCAAACACTATAACCATCATTATAATGCAGGGTTGCCGTTAGCAAGATGATATTGAAAAGCATGCGGTTTTATCCAATTAAGCGTATACATATGTACCTATGTCGCTTAGCACAGTTCAACGCATGCAGTCCGGAGTGATACACGATGCCTTGAACACCAACTATGCTCCCAGATGGGTCGTTCTTGGAGACAAACACGCTGCAGTCAGAATATAAGAACAATAAGACGGATCCTGGAACCCCACTTGAGCTAATACGAACACGCCACCAACAGCGACACAAGGCGGAACCGTCACAGAAAAGTGACAATGGAAATAAAACCTACGTGTGGCTGGCAGCAGCTGAGAGGGCAACAATCTAAGAGGAGACACAGTATGGTGGGCATAATACTGCTGATCAACATGATTATAAAACTCTACGGCTGTTTCATGTCCGTTTAAAATATGGATTATGAACTGCTCTGTCAACGAACAGCGAAGAACACTAATGTAAATCCATCGATAAAAAAACAGTAAAGCTATGTCCTTAAAACTGTACGATGTGCTATATCAAAGGGTCTTCCTACCCAAATGCAATATTTCACTCCATAGAAGAGTTGCTATGACAACAAGCCATATGAGTACATTCGGAGTTATTTGAATCCAAAGGGCATGAATTATATTCATTTGATTTCATGCGTCTCGTGGTCCACTGGTGCAATTTCGAGTAGGCCTAATTACTTAAGAAAACTGTTTGGGAATAATTCTAATTTTCAACTACGCAAATCGTAGTTCTAAAATTGAGTATCTTTTATTCTTTTTAAAAAAGATTTACTTTTTCTTTTTATCCAGCTGTTGCGTTTCTGTCCCACTGAAACACCTTTGATTTAGGGAATATCATACAAAACCATATGCCTCCATGCATCAGATTGATTAGAATAAAATCAGAAATAACATACACGGATTGTTATTACTAATTACCTAACTTGAAAAACACTACATCTATTCTGTCCGTCTTCTTACAGAAACAAGTTGCATGTATCCAGTATAGGGACATGTATACCATTCTGAATGCTGCGTAACACTATTTCATACAAAATTAGAGCATTTTGAAGATATGTAAAGGTTTCGTCACTGGTTGTACAAGTTGGCAAATAACATCCATGTTGGCACACATCGAAGAGCCACCTGTAAATGATTCAACCGACATCGAATTGACTCTTTGAAATGCTGATGACTGGTCTCGTGCATAATTGAGTTTGCTAAGCACACATACCCTGGGTATTGCATCTTCCCTAAAGGCCGAGTTGTTTACATGGAAGCATGTAGGTGACAGGATGTGTTGGTACCTTCAAATTGCTCCAACAAAAACATCTTTGTATCAAAATACAATAAAAAAATAACCTCGTCAACAGTGCATCTCAAGAACGAAGAGCAACTAGGCGTTGTATGACTGATATTCCGGAAACATTGGTAACTTGAATCTCTTTCCTTCGAGTATACCAAGACAGAAAATCGTATAGCTAATTGCTTCCCTGCAGTGCAACGAGGATCAATTGGTTAGATAGCCAAATTTCGAATGATTTGCGACGGAAAAATTTATCTAAAATCATAAATGAAACAAATAACAAAACAAAACGAAAAGCAACTTGAAGAATCCGAATGTATACCCCGTGCAAGTTCACATTTCCACTAAGATAATCAACTGAAAATGTGAGCATCGAGATACCCATGCCCCGGAACGACACATCCTATAGTTTTGACCAATAATTACAGCAAAGGCCCTACCTATGATAGGGACCAGGCAGCACTGACTTCTGACTTCAAATACTAAAATTATATTCTGGTATAAAATTCTGTCAACCAAACCGTGTGGCTTCATAATTGGCAGGACTATCGAACTCAGCGGTCTTTAAATTTCAAACGGGGAATAAAATTCCTTATTCCTAATGAAATGCTGATAATAGGCCTAAATATTAATGCAAAGTGCAAGGTACCTTAGCAAAACTGAAAAACTTGAAAAAAACTCAATCTATGATTACAAACAGCAAACAACCACCCTCCCAAAGTAATATATCTTTGGATTGCGGTGATGACACTGGACCGGGATTTTGTTAGTCTTGTCAAACTTCAAACAACACAAGGTAAACTATTTCGCTTGGCCTGTTTTCCCCATATTTGTGAGTTCATGATTTCAACCTTGAATGCTCGAGTATAACAAACTAATAAGAAACAGGAGTAAAACTTTTTATTTCGTTTTATTCGATGTACCAATAATAGACAAACGGTGAACATGTAGTAAAATCTTAACGCACGATTTACACTGATATAATTAAACCACATACAGGTTTTCTTGATTAAATATTTGAGGTTTTCGGTGCAATTCTAAAAAGCAATGCCGACAGGAAGCTGGTAGGGCCAACTGATCCTGTAAGCTCTTGTGGCAAGTCTAGTGGGCACTGTGTAAGGAGTGAACTATTTTATCAAACAACATACTTGGCTGACAATACCAACAGCGTTGATAGCTCGTGTACATGACATTTTTATGCACGAACACACCTTGACCTCTTTAAAGGTCGAGCCCATACTATAATGCATGCACAGTGAGTCTTCATAAACTGTCAAAAATAGACATGTTAAAAATACTGGTAGGCATAAACGTGTTGGTCTGCTCA